GGGGGGGGGAGCCCCTAAAACGCTGGTGAAAGCACCGCGCTGGGAAGGCGGGGAGGATTTCGCGGTGGGGTCTCACCCTGCTGCGTCCGTTGAGGGGGGCGATGAGGTTGTGCCGGGCTTCCCCCCGTCAGACAACATGGATGTGGCTTTTCCACCATTTCATCGCCGCGCTGGGGCGAGTAGGATTAACCCCCCGTACACACACACACACACACACACGCTTGTGCCACGAGCGAAGTGTCGGTGCGAATGCGGCTGAAAGTTAAAGTTTAGGCTGCTGTTACCAACTTTTTGGAAGGAGGCTGTGCCTACTCGAGTGTTTTATTAAGTAATGAACTTTGTTGCTAAGCTATAAAATAGGTTTTATTATTGGCCATTGTCACTTTATCTGTGTAGCCAGTAGGAGCGAAACTCGCTCTGTGTACTGGTGCCTGGTACTCTTGTTGTTAAGGGTCTGTCAACATTTCCATTATTAAACTTCTGTTTTGAAGGATTTATAACTTGGCTTCAGAAGTTCACTCCAGGCTGAACCTTGGCACGTACTCTCTCGGCCTAGGAGTTAATTCATTTTCCAAATACTCGAAAAATCAGTCTGGCCTTCATATTGCAAGACTGAAAAGAAAATAGAAAGGGGTGGGGCTGAGTTGCTTGTGTAGTTTTGCTCGCTTCTGACTTGCAGACCTTTAATAACATACTGAAATCCACCGAGGAATAAGGTTATTGCGTGTAGTTTTTTTCCAAGTTGTGCAAATCTTATCTCTGTTCCATTGTGCACAAATGTGAACTGGTATACATTCAGCTAACGCTTGGTGCTGCGTCTTGTTAAGTACAGTAACCGCAGTTAAATAGCTATCGCGTTTGAAATGCACTTAATGTGTGTGACGTTCATACAACTTGTACTTTTAAGCTTAGCGTTATCTTGCTTGTGTATGTTACTCTTCATCTGTAACGCACATTGAGTTGGATCGCTGTTCCTTGTGCCAGGCGGTGGTTCCTAAAACATAAACTTGGAATTCGGCTGAAGCCAGAGAACCATTTGCTTCATTGTGGACTGTCTTTTGAAATAAAATGTTCCTTTTTGTTTAGTTGTGCCACAAAAATACTCTGTTTAACAGATAAGGTCTCTAAGTTTCTCAAATTCTCCCTGTTTCTCGAGAATTAAAATGCCTCAAATTCAGTTGATTTGCAACTTGTGTATTTTGTTTAAATGTAAGCTAATTCGTTTCCAATTTAATATATGAAACTTCGCATGTGCTTGCATACAGATGTAGTGAAACAGAATTATCACTCTCCGTAAGAGTATATAAATGGGGCCTCAAGTGTGGTGCAATACCTTGTGTAGAGAGGTGTGGCAAGGGCTGATACATGCATCTTATTATAGGTGTCCATGTTGTTCTGCTGTATGTACAAAATCAATTAATTGGTAAATATATATATATATATAAAAGTCAATATTACTTTAATCCAGTTTTCAGAGCTGCTTTTTCTGTTTTATGGTGGACACGTATTTACTCCTGGCAAAGAAGTTCTGTGTACTTAAGACTGGTAACTGGTGAATGGTTTTGTGAGTCGCTTCTGGTTGACTGGTTCAACAGTTGGCTGAAGCTTTGCTTTGGATAAGGCAGGGGCAGACTCTTTATAAGCTCCTAATACCCTTAAAGTGCGGTTTGTGTGCAGGTTAGGGAATCTTGCGTTCAGTCTTCTTGTATAGGCTTTTTTTATGGTTGAGTTCAGGAGTCTTCCTCCATTGGAACTCGCTGCTGTCAGTTGGCATTTCTTTGTTGCTTTTCTCCTTGTGTAATCATTTAAACCCCTGCAGAGGGTGTATGTGTGGGTGTCCTTGCACACGCCCCCCGCTCCCGTTTCAAAAGGAGAGTGGGAAATTAACTCCTCCAGCAGAAAGTGGGTGCGATGGTAATGGGTGGGTGCAGTCCAGTAATGAACCATGCGATGTTCTGTATGAGGTCTGCTGTCTGTGGGCATGTTTTTTTCTTAACCCTGCACCAAGGAGTAAGATCTTCAGTTTTCAAAATAAAACTAAAGGCATTTAGCACATACTTATAATTCATATTTGTTGACTTACACAAGGGTTTTTTTGGTGCTAATTAACCAACCAAGGCTCTCTTGAACAGTAACAACTAGAAAATAAGCAGAACTTTAGAATGACCAACTTACGAATTTTTTCTGAAAGATTCATTTAAAGTGAAATGTCTTCTGACAGCTGCATTTCTGCTGAAATATAAGAATCTTAATGAGAGTAATTTCACTCCTGGCAGGCCAGCACTGATGCAGGGACAGCAGGCGCCCTGACCCCTCAGCATGTCCGAGCTCATTCCTCTCCAGCATCACTGCAGCTGGGAGCTGTTTCTCCAGGGACGCTTACACCCTCTGGAGTAGTGACTGGACCCGGAACTCCATCTTCTCAACATCTCCGCCAGTCTTCATTTGAGATCCCTGATGACGTACCTTTGCCACCAGGTTGGGAGATGGCTAAGACACCATCTGGACAGAGATACTTTCTTAAGTAAGTAAAACTTGTTTTCAATTAGCTGAATCTCTAGTGGCTTTTTGTTGTTGGTTTGGTTTTTTTGGCGTTTTTTTAACAGTCTTTGAAATTTAGTAAATTTCATTGTGTTTAAAATACATATTTTTCAAAACATGTTCCTGATTTTAAGTAGGAGATACTACCACTTCAGTATTTCTCCCGTATCAACTCTCTGCTGTCTCTGAAAACTGTATGGTACTCTGTGAATATTTATCCTATCTTAATCTTAGCTGAAGAACATTATCCATTATATTGTGTACTGAAAATCAGTGAAATGCTCATAGTGATTTTTAAACAATGTGGCTTTTGGATTTTCTAAATCTTGCCAGAGTTCTTGTGCAGGTCAAAATAGATTTTACCTCATTTTTATGAGATAGATGTAAAAATACAGAGTAACTTTAGAAACTATTTTAGTGAGAATATATCAGGACTTCTTATTTTTTGAGTAAGGACAGTTGTGTAAGTACACAATCAAAACATTTTTGCCTACTCTCTACTCATGAGGAAATTAATATATGTGTTTGATTGCAGTGTTTGGGTCTGTAAGTCTTAACTCATCTACATTCCCTGCAGTGAAAAGGAAATTGCAGAACTTCTAATATTGTTTCTTGTTCCTATAGCTGTAGCTTTTTCACACAGTGAAATTAGTATCACCTTTTCCATAACTGAAGAGATGTTACACACGCCAGCCATCTGACACCTAATCCATCAGGGAGCATTTTCTTTTATGCTGCGTAGTTTTCTAAAACAGCAGGAGCTTGTCCTTCGTTCTGAAAGTGTGCCCACCAAGACACATAATTGGCTCTCAAATATTTTGACTATATTTTGAACATTTTATTTAACTGCAAGTCTCTAAATAACCCATTATATGTCATTTTCAGGGCTGCGAGAGGGGAGGGGCAGCACAGTGTGTTATTTATGTAAAACTTGTTTCATCCAAGAAAAACATCTTTATCCCTACCTTTCTTGCTAAAACATTGTCATTAATGTGTGCATTTGATTGAAATAGTTGAGTTTGTAGCTTCAGAAACAAATTTACATTGTCTGCAATGAAAATGGAACTTGCAGAACTTCTTAAAACTGTTTCTTGTTCCGATAGTGATGGTGTTTCCATACAGAGAAATTAGCATCACTTTTTTTTAATCAAAAAGAGGTTACAGCAGTTGTCTGACATTATTTGAGCCTGTGTTAGGAATGTGAAAGTGATCATTAGCTATAGATCTTGAAGATATGATATTTTCTTTGGTGAAGTTTAACAAATCAGTGTATTCTAGAATGTGAGCTCTTCAGTGGGCACAAGTAGAATTTTTTTGGAACTGCGTAAGTTTATGCCACTTGAGAACTGTAGCTCATTGGACCTTGAGGAAAGCACAGACTGAGTTTTGAAATGAAAAGCAAACTTTGTTTTGACTGTGCTAGTGAGAGCTCTTAAGGAGCAGCTTATGAAACATGAAAAATAGATATTTGATTTTTAAGTTTTACTGTCACAAGTGTTTGTTTTTGGTAACGCTCTCAATTTTATGGAAAGTAGAACAGTTTAAAAGATGCAAAATATCTGCACGTTCTTACAGTAGATTTTTTTTAAATTATGCTCATTCAGGTGAAATCAGAGTGAAAGATTTGTTCTTGGAAAGCTTTTCTGCAGTTTCATTATTACCACAAAAAATCTTTTCCTTTTTTTCTGCAAGTTTTTTTTGTCCTTTCTTGGTGTCCTGGTATCCATTTCAAAGGGTCAGGTTTCAGCAAGAACAATAAAGAGCCCGAGACTGGAAAGTACACACAAGTCTGGCGAACTCATCTGCATGAGCAAGATTGTTTGTTCTCAAGCAGACATCCAAAGTAAATGATTGAAAGAGCTGCTAGCTGTGAAGGATGTGTCTTGAAGGGGAAAGGAGGGGAAACAAACCAGGTTGTTAGGAAGAAAAATAAATGCTGTACTTTTTGAACCTCTCCCTGCTGGGTCACATGCTGACCTTGGGAGATTTTAAACAGCTTAATGGGCTGTTTTCTTTTGGCTTTCCTTGGGTGATGCTGTGGTATGGGAGAGTCTAATGAGGACAGTTCTGAAGGCTCTGTTCACACTTGAAGAACATTCGTTGTTCCTAAAAGGTTGAGTAATGCTATCTACAGGTGAGATCCACCAGCTTCATTGGAGTTCATGAAGATTTGTAAAAAAACATTTCAAGTACTAGCAAAATGTTTGCTTTGTATGTTTAGGAAATCCAAAGAAATGTAAGAATTATTTTTGAGTAGCAAGTCTGTATTTCAGAAGCTTTTTTCAGTGTTGAGTGATAAGTTCTCTCTCATACCTACAAGCCTGTTAAAACTCACGTCTTGTCTAGTTATACCTTAAACATTTGCTCGAAGCGTGAGTACTAAGATTCCTGATGCTAAATACATTTAACGTGGTTCCTTCTACCATATGCAGATTTTTGGTGTCTCTTCCAAGTATTCAGCTTTGTTGTTGGATTGGCTGCATTGCTCTTTGTTTCCATTTGCTCTGTTCTGTAGCCACTCCATGAACAGTCTGGTAATCAGGCTCTAGAAAGATCTTTGCAGAATAGGTAACAGTATTAGATTTTTTCCAGATGTCTGTAAGCCTTATGGTTATAGTTATCATAATATACTACAGCGCAAACAGAATAATGTGAAATTGAGTACCGTACTTAATACAGTCTGGAATATAGTCATTTCCACTAATCAATGGGTCAAGCACTGCAAGCATAGTAGTTTGTGCAAAGAAATAAAAATAGCGTGTATGGGAGGGAAAATAGTTGTCTGTATATACAGACAACGTACACAGAGTTATTTGGCCAGATACTTCATATACACACCACACGTATCCATACATATTAAAAGAGGATGAGAGTGGTAGTGTAGGGTCTGAACCAGAACTACTCTTGTAAATCAGCCTGTCATCTAGATAAATAGACCCCTTTATCTATGAATGCCCAACGTATGATTTGCCAGAATTCCACTCGTTAGCGTTCATCTCGCTGTTACGAGTAGGACTCCTGAGTATAATTTTCCGTTAGTGAAAATGCAGATGATTTTGGTCAGTGAGTTAAGACATGCTTGCTATACAGCTGGTAAAACTAATACTATTTTTTTATTGAAACTGCTACTTAAATAGTACTCATAACTTAGGACTTGCCTGGTTAGTAAGTGGTCACGTCTGAGTCATCTCGGCATTGCTGTGCGGTACGCTTTAGCCCATTCTTAAACATGCAGTGAAAAAAAACTCGCTTGGTTTGTGTGGCGATGTCAACCGCATTGCTTTTTAACCGCTTCCTGTTAGCCAGCTGCTGGGTGACATTTCAGTGAACTATGGAGAAAGATAGGGGATCGCTCTCTAGGCAAAAGATAATATGCCATGGGAGTAGCAGACAACAACTTGCAGAAAGAAAAAATGAGTTTCACTCAGTTTTAGAATTACTCTTGTATTGTTTTACCTTAGTGTTATGCTTTTAATTCTTACTAAACTTGTGTAATACCTCTTCTCATTTTGTAGTGTGAAGAAAAGTTAACTGATTGTCCAGCAAACAAGTCTTGTAATTATTTTTCCTACAGGAAGTAGTTCTTGCAAGCAGTTTATCAACAACTTCCTATTTTTTTCTGTGAAGTGTTGAATGACTTCCTGAAGGAGGCCAAGGTGGTTTTCATTAGTATCTGTGGGTGTGTTTGAGGTGTTTACCCATCTGGCAGAAACCTTAAAAATAGATTGCTGTTACACGTTTCTTATGTGCTCTATACAGAGGTATGGCTTTGGATGTTATGAAACCAAATTGTTTTAAGGTAACAGGGAAGTTTGTTGCTACGCTTTTTTTTTTTTTTTTTTTTTTTTTTCTTCTCATGTCACACATGAAGAATATCCAGCAACGTTGTTACATTTCTCTTGCATCCCATTTTTGGCCCTGACTGGAACCACCCACTGCAGCAATATCATCTGCTCCCTTCCTCCTCCTTTCCTCCCCACCCCGCCAAAGTAATCTTGGTCTTCCAGAGCAGATGATGTTTATGGGACAACTGCTGCCACAGTTGCATATTTCATTGAATACCTTAATTTACTGGGGAAATGCATATTCGGAATCATCGGTTAGTGTGAGTTCTTGTGTTTATAGTTCTATAGTTCAGGCTAGTTTGCCATTAAAAGAGCTGTATTATTGAAAACCAAAACTGCAGCCACTGCTTTTGATGTCTTTGTCACTTTTTCATGCTTTTTGTATTAAAAAGCAGTTGAAGATTTTTGTTTGCTAAATTTTATTTCTAATTTGTAGTTTCATTTGCATATTGATGATATCTGACTGTTTATGAAAATATTCATAAGATTGATCTACAAAGAAAAAAAGTGCCATGAGATTTGTGCAGGGGAAAATGGGCACTGTCAGTTTCAGAACATAGCTGGAGGAAAGAAATATCAGTTAAAGTGCTTTTAGAGTAAAACATGCTGTGGTATGTTTTTGGCAACTTAAGATTTTGTGTCTTGGAAGACAGTCATAGTACTACTAAGTGTATATCTTTCCTTCTAAGTCTTACTTGAAGAGTCCTGTGACAGAACAATGATACAAACTATTCTGAATTTGCAGTTGTACTAAAGATCTCTGTATCTTTAAAAGGGCGGAGGAGGAATAAGGGCAAACCTGCCTTATTTGCGTTAGCGCTGAGACTGAGCTGGGAGGAGGATGAAAGTACATTTTCAGCCCTCTAAATTCAGAGAACTTGCAGTCAGCTTAGTGGGTGGGCATCAGTGAAAGCAATGGCACAGGGTGCTTTTCTTGTGTTTAATTTTGTTTTGCTTAAGAAAAATTGCAAACGACGATATCCATGCATTCAATACCCTGCCATACAAGGTAATTTTATAAGACTATTCCAAAAACGGTTTAGTAGATTTGAGTCCAGGTAAACCAAAAACATACCCTGTGGTTTTCACTAATGTATTTTCCTTTTGTTTATAAGCGTATTGGCATTTGTTATCCTCA